CAGAAGGTCCCCTCAGGCCCCTGAAGGCTCCGTGAAAGCATTTCTTTCTACACCATACTCCTGGCCCTTTCAGGTGCACGGCCTCCTGAGCTGCCCAACGCTGAAGAGGTTTGCACACGTGATCGAGCAGAGAGCTGTGGACACAGCCTTGTTCGTGCAAGGTGGAGACAGGTGAGGGGCCTCTTCAGCTGCTGGCACGACGTCACGCTTGCTCAGGCCTCCCAGTGCAGGAAGGGGTTCATCAGACCGCTCACACCTGCCTGCTGGTGTCTGTGTGCATTGGCAGAAGTCACCCCATTCTCTGGGCTCACTGAGTGGACCCAGCCCTGGGTTGAGCTGGACCTGGTGAACTAGTGCTTCTGTCCACTGTTATACGGATTCAGGAGCCACCACTTGACTGAGTTTCTCTTAATCACTGACTTACTCCTTTTGCTGTAAGTTTCAAAGGATTTGGGGTGGGGATGCTGAAGTAAGAATCATCATCGCTCACTTGATTCATCACCTCACAATTTACAATAATTTTCATGTTCTCGCTGTGAGGTAGGGTCCAAGTCCTGGCTTTGCAGTTGGAGAAACTGGGCCAAGGGATGTGGCCACCTTCCTTCAGCTCAGCTAGCAAGGGGCAGAGCCATGACTTGGCCCTAGGTCTTCTAACAGTCCTGTGTTTTCTCCATGTTACTGACACTTAGGGTGCTGTTTTTAGAAGGGCTGTGTCCTGACTGTCAGAATGGACAGTTTCTCTCTTACCAAATGGCAAAACCATGCTTTTGTGCTTGGTTAAGAACATTCAGCTTGCACTCAGCTTAGGTGACTTGCTAGAGGAGGAGATGGGAAATAGGGGAACAACCCTAGGAAGATGAGTGGGAGGAAAAGCAGCTAACTAACATTTCAAGGAGTTGCGCAGTCTGTTGATAAGAGCCTCTGACAGCTGTTCTCCCCCTCCGAGTCGGTGTGTCCTCTTGTACACCACACAGAGCGTCCAGAAGGCTCCGGCCTCACCACTCGGCCTCCTGCCACTACCTGGACTTGCCACTTTCCCTCATCTATTCCTGAGGTGGCCCCACCAGACTTAAATTGTCACTGACTGCCCTCCTCTCCACTAATACATACACGCACGCGCGCGCGCACACACACACACACACACACACACATTTAGTAAATATTTTATTTTTTGTGGCTTATGCTTTATCTGTTGCAACTACTCATCTCTTCCCATGTAGCATGAAAGCAGCCAAGGACCACATGCAAACAAATGGGCACAGCTGTGCGCCAATAAAATTTTATTTACAAAAACAGGCAGGTGGGTTTGGTTGGACCAATGGCCACAGTTTGCCTTCTCCCGGTGTAAAGCATTTTAAATAAGACCTGATCCATTGTCCTTTTTATTCCAGTGAGTCCTGGTTTCATAAAAGCAATGTGTCTTCGAGCACAAATGGTTACCACCTCACAGGGCCGTCCCCCTGGCTGGGCCCCTGCGCGTTTTCTGGAAAGCGTGTGGGACGTACAGCGTTTGTTGCCTACTCCTCACCCATTGCTTCCGAGCTCCTTGATTTGTAAAAGTGGCCGCTTATCCAGTCACCGTGAATAAGAATTGCTCTAAGCCAGTCACGGCGACTCCATTCCCCTTTGTCAGTGATTGGGTTCTGGGAATTCTGGGAGAGGTTTTTTCCTCTTTGATTTTAAAAAGTGAGAGTCACCAAAACCAAGTGTTTTGGCTGCTTACTGGCCCGTTTTACTGCTTTGTTTGTACCCAGCCTGAGAATGAAAGCAGTGGAGCCACAGTGCCAGCCCTGCGAGCACTACTGCTGACTCCTTGTTAAATCAAATCTGTAATGAGAAAGGTCCTTATGGCCTAACCTCCAGGGAAGGAGGCTGGCGCGTGGGAGGCATGGTTAGGGATGTGGTTCCTTCAGATTGCTGTCCTGAGGGCCCTCCGGGACTCCTGGAAATCACCACCCCTGTCCTTCCCAGCTTGCTCTTTCAGTCCCGAAGGCCCAGTTCTGTATGACTTGCCAGGTACCCTCTCCCCCAGCTGCTCTCCTCTCAGCTGTGTTCGTACCATGTCTGTATCCTGGCGCTTTTATTGTTGGAAGTGTTTGTGCCCAGAGAACCCTCAAACTTTAGGCAGCGCCGATTTTCTCCTTCCAGCTTGTCTGTCCCTCAGGCTTGATGTGTCTTTTTCTCAATTCTGATTGGCTAGTGAAGGCCTCGGGCAGAACCACTCCTGTTCCCTGTGTGCTGAGTAACAGCTGGGTGCTTAAATGTTGTTTCCTTGCCATAGGGAAAGTCTGCAGATGGCAGTGGGACCATTTCTCCATCTCCTGGAGAGCAACCTGCTAAAGGCCGTGGACCCGGCCACTCCGCCTGACAGTAACAGGTACCGGGCACAGCTCCTCAGCTTCATGCAACTGAGGGTAGTGGGGACCTCCGGTTGTAGGGAGGAAACCCAGGTTTTAGGGGGCCAAGAACCAGGCTGTCGGCGACTGAAGGTAGAAGTTTGAGGCCACAAATCCCAAAGACATTCACATTTTTACCTTTCTCCCTGCTACACCCATCCAACCATGTTTTGAAATTTTAATTTTAGCTAAAAGAACCCTAAATTAATTTTTCTATTTTTTACTAATTGTACATGTGTTCGAGTAGCTAATTAGGATATCACTTACTTGATGTCATAATAGCCCGAAACAAAGATAGTTGGTAATAGATTCTTTAGTTTTAATTCCTTCATTAAGTATATAGAAGGGTATGATACCATGAGGCATTTTAAGATATTGGAAGTGGCTCATGACCCTCCATCACCACTTTTGCAGAGCCTGGAGCCCAGTTTAGGGACCACAGTGGTAGAATATTATGTATCCTAGGCCCTTGCAAGGCAAAGTGTGGTCTGCAGATGGACAGCTTCACCGTCCTCTGGGAGCATGTTAGCTTCTCAGGCCCCAGCCTTACCTACTGAATCAGAATCTGCACTTTAAAAAGATCCCCAGGGGAAAGACAGGATAGTGAGTTGAAAAAGGAACATTCAGGAACTTGGGCCAAGATTTATAATAGCAAATTATGGGAATGCCCATCCCTGTCCATCACAGTACCTGTGACAGTACATTTCCTGCTGGCCTCTGCCACTTTGCCCCCTTGGCCTACTGCTAGTCCTCTAGTGTGGGGTCTACAAATAAAATCCTTGATCTCTCCCAAAAGATAGATATAGGGTCAGACAGATATGGATTAAAGTCATCTGGAGAATGTGTTGGCCAAACAGGTTCATTAATATTCCTTTGAAATAAACTTAATTCCCCCCAAAATGCAAGCTTCCCCAACTCAGAGAAGCACTTGCCCTACTAAAACTCATCACACAGCTGAGTAAGAACGTTTGCCAGAGGCAGGCAGGTTCCAGAGAGAGAGAGAGGGGAAAGGCCCAAGGCACTCATGCTCAGTGTCTTCTTTGAAACTCACCAGGGGAGGAGGAAACCACAGAGCTGTTCCAGTGGGGATCCTGCTCCTTGCAGACATGGGAGTGGGGATACGGCTTCTCCCTCATCTCCTGCGAGGGATTTTGTACCAGGCTCAGCTAATTTCCGAGGCATGTGTTGCTGCTGCTGAAGAAGGCAGGCCTTGTCCCGGCCCCCAGGGTCCCAAGGGAAGATGTGTGGAGAACTGTCTCCTCATTGCAGAAAACTGTACCTCTATGCGACTCATGATGTGACCCTCCTGCCGCTTTTACTGGCCCTGGGGATTTTTGACCATAAGTGGCCACCGTTTGCTGCTGATGTGACCCTGGAACTCTACCAACACCAGGAGTCTTCGGAGTGGTTTGTGCAGCTCTATTACCATGGGGAGGTAAGACCCCTGAGGCAGGGTCGGGTGGTGGCTAGGCACCCTTCCCCCAACCCCACCCACCTGGTTTCCAGCACCAGGTCCCCCTCCGTGGGCCCAGAGGAACCTCCTTTGGTGTAATCAGCTTTCTGAGTCATCTAGGTCGTTGCGTGGCTCTGGCCCAGGGATAAGGCAGAACTTGGCCTATGGAGGCAGCTGGAACTTGGGTTTTGTCCTAGTTCTGTTACAGACTCCTCCTAGGAGCAGGACCACCCTCCTCTTCCTCCAAGTGTGTCTGCCGGGGTGTAAAATTCTGACGTAGAAGCTTGTTTTGGAAATTAATGGTGGTGTCTTTGGGAGGTGACATGTTCTGTCAGCACTTTTGGTGTCTTGGCTGCCTCAGCAGGTGGCTGAGCAGGTGGCTGTCCAGGGCAGAGGCTAGAGCAGTCCCCAAGGATCAGACCTTTACTCCTCCCAGCGCCGGTCCTAACTTGACTGTCTTCCCAGTCAGTTCAAGAAACAGTTCTTGAGTGACTTTTGCTAGCTGGCTGAGTAGTGGGGTCTCTCGGCTGGTACTTGTGGCCTTGCACAGGCCTCTGGGCACCGCTGGAAACAGTGAGATGGTCCTGGCCCTGCTGAGCAACATCTCTTCCACAGGAGCAAGTGCCAAGAGGCTGCCCTGATGAGCTCTGTCCACTGGACAAGTTCCTGAACGCCTTGTCAGTTTACACCGTAAACCCAGAAAAATACCACACCCTCTGCTCTCAAGCACAGGTGACGGAACTTGGAGAAGGAGAGTGACTGATTGTCCAAGCAGGATGTTGAGTTTTAAATAAAATGCCTTTGCATGGTGCCTCTGGCTGTTATGTGTGGGAGCAAGAGTTAGTGTGCTTTAACATAAGGGAAGGAAGGGTATTTCCTTCCTATAGGTAATATTAAGGTCACTTCTTGAAAGGAAAAGCAGTGTATATACTGTGGCTTGATTTCCATGTCCAGAAGCATCTGCCTATGACATAGGCTGGGGACATCATGACCCTGTAGAATTTTGTTGGCTTTGGACTTCAGGTCTTTTTTCTTTTCTTACTGATTTCAGAGAGGAAGGGAGAGGGAGAGAGAGAGAAACATCAATGAAAACAAAATCATTGATGGGCTGCCTCCTGCACGCCCCCTACTGGGGATCAAGGCCGCAACCAGACACGTGCCCTGACTGGGAATTGAACTGTGACCTCCAGGTTCATGGGTCTATGCTCAACCACTGAGCCACACCACCTGGGCTCAGCTCTTTTTTCTTATCTTCATTTCACAAATTTGAAGTGGTCATTACAAAGGTGAAAAGTTTCTGTCCCCAAGTTGTTTCAGTCCAGTGGGAGAGGCAGGTGGGTAAATCAGTGATGACAGTGCAGTATGTTTCCTGTGATGAGGAGCTATTTGGGTACAAAGAAGAAACGCCTGGCCCAGCAGGCAGAGAAAGCTGAGTAGGAGTTACCTAGGTAAGCAAGGAGGAAAGGATGTTGTGTGTAGGTTAAAGGGTCGCTTGAAGGTCAGGGAACGCTGCTGGCTGCTGGGTGGGAAGCTGGAGCCATGCCCTGGAGGCCCAGCAGGAAGATGCAGGGAGGCTTGGCTTCTGGTGGCTGGAGCTGCAGCAGTGGGGAGAGGGCTCCACAATGGTGGGCTGCAACCGCTCTCAGTATAAGAGCTCCCCCTGTAACGGGGCCCCCACGGGTTCCTGTTAATCTCCCCGTTTCCTCATCAGTTTTCCCATTGTTCCCCAGAATCTATTTCAAAGTTTTACTGATCTCAAACAACCAGCCCCTTTACCTCTCAGGGAAAATAGCAATCATAAAGTCTCTCCACTTCCAACCATCCTTATGTTGACAACTCCCAGGTCTACTTCTCTAGCTCAGGTTTCTCTTCAGAGCTTCAGACACCCCTGTCCACATGGATGTGCCATAGACACAAAATGTCCCATGTCACAATCAAACCCTCTCTCCTACAGCCTGCTGCTTCACAGGCTTACCTTTCTGAATGAAAGACACCTCCACCATCCACTCAGTCGTGAAACCAGAAGTCTGTCCTTGTCTTCCTATTTCACATTTTCCTCTGTCTTAACCAGTTAAGTTCTGTCCTACCTAGTTTATTTTGTGAATCTATTCCCACCTCTTTATCCTTGATCTTCAATACCCCCTTCCTGTCCTCACTCTGATAATTACTTTAAGAAAATAAAAGCAATCGGAAGAGACCTTTAGTCTCACCACCACCATCACTACCACCACCACCAGATCTGCTACCCCATTTGTGCTGGTGGCCATACGGCCTTCCTGTTACTAGGAACAAACCATCCCCATTCCTATCCAAAGCCAACCCTCCAGCTTTACATTGACTCCTACATTTATCTCTTCTGCATTGTTAATTTTCTCTTTCTGCCAGTTATTGCCATTTGCACACAATTATGCTGTAAAATTCTCTGTTAATTTTTTTCCCACATCTTGGAAGTACTATGCTATTTTTTTCTCCCCTTTACAACAACATTTCTCAGAAGAGTTCTTTATACTTGCCCTCTCTGATTCTTCCCTTCCCATTTGTGTTGAACCAGCTGCGGTTAGGTACTCACCCCTTCCACACCCACGGAAACCGCCCTTGTCAAAATCATCAGTGACCTCTGAGTGCTCAGTCCAGTAGCCAGTTTTTAGTCTTACTCAGATTCTCATCAGCAGTCTTGGAATATTTTTTTCATTTGGCTGCCATGACAATACTCTCTTGGTTTTCCTCCGGCTTCTCAACTTCTCAGATTCTACCTTTTTGTAATTTCTAAGTCTTGGAGTGTCTCAGGGCTTAGTCCTTGGACCTTTTCTCCTACACCCATCCCCAGTGACCTCAAGCAGTCCCATAGTATTTAGACAATGTCTCCTAAATTTATATCTTAAATCTCAACCTTTCCCCCGAATTCTCATTTCCAATTGTGTACTCTATCTCCACATGGATATTTAAGATATTTAGTATGTATTAAACTTTCCATTGTCGACAATCTGCTCTCAATTCTTATGCCTCTTTAAATCTTCTTCCACAGGCTTCCCCGTCTAGGTAAATGGTACCACCATTTACCCAGTTGCTTGGGCCAAGAGCTTTGGAATTGCCCTTGATTCCTCTCTTTCTCATTCCTACATCTAAGCCATCAGTAAATCCTGTTGTGTCTCTTTTCAGACTATATCCAGAATTGACTACTTAAGACTTCCATCGCTGCTGTCTTAGTCTCAGCATTACCTCTCATCTGGATTCATTGCAGAGTTCTATTTCTGCCCTTTCCCTCTCCCCCAATTTATTTTCAACATACGCATTGCTTTTAAAACACAAGTCAGATCGTGGCAGTCTTCTGTTCAGAATTCTCCCCTGGCTTCTCATATCAAAGAGACAGTCATCCCACTGGTCCCCAAGGCCCTAGAACACCCTCTTCCCTCCTCTCCACTGTGCTTCAGCCACCATCGCCTTCTTACCATCTTGTACGCCATGTACCCTAAGTCATGTCCTCACCTGGGATCTTTGTATAAGCTGTTTCCTCTCCCTGGAATGTTCTAGACATTTTGTGGTTGGCTCCCTCTCTTCACTCAGATCTCAACTCAGTGTCATCTCATAGAGATGCTCCCATGTTATCCTATATAAAGTTTTTGTGTTTTTTTTAAATATACCTTTATTGATTTCAGGGAGAGGAAAGGAGAGGGAGAGAGAGAGATAGAAGCATCAATGATGAGAGAGTCACTGATTGAGCCCGCAACCCGGGCATGTGCCCTGACCGGGAATCGAACCCCGATCGCCTGGATCCCGGGTCGACGCTCAACTGCTGAGCCATGCCCGGCCGGGCCCTACATAAAGTATTTCAGACCCTTCCCCTCCCCCTACCTCCAGCCTTAGTTACATCCTATCACCTTGTTATGGGCTGAATTATGTCCCCTCATTCATATTTTGAAGTCCTAACCCCCAGTATCTCAGATGTGGCTGGAGATAGGGCTTTGAAAGAAGTGATTAAGGTAAAAAGAGGTCTTATGTGTGGACCCTGATCCAGTATGAAGAGGAGCTTAGGACAGTGGCACAGAGGGAGGACCATGTGAAGACAGAGGAAGAAAATGGCCATGTACAAGCCAAGGAGAAAGGCCTCAGAAGAAACCCAGCCCTGCTGACACCATGATCTTGGACTTGTAGGAAATACATTTCTATTGTTTAAGCTACCTGGTCTGTAGTCTTTCATTATGGTAGCCCCGGCAAACCAATCACCTTGTCCTCTCTTCCCACCATGGTTTTTATCAGTGCTTAATGTTACACATCTGTGTATATGTTTATCTCTCTAACTAGACTGTAAGCTCCACAAAAACAGACTTTACCTTGTTCACTGATGTGTCCCCAGCATCAAGAATGGTTCCTGGAGCCTGCAAATGCTCAAACATCTGTTGAGTGAATGGACATATCCCCTCGGGCACTACTCTCTTGGGCCCAAGATCAGCCTCTAGGGTACTTAGTGGCTTCCTAATGGCTTACGCCCTTTCCTGTCTTCTGTTACCCTTTGAGACACGTTTCCTGCTTGCTTCTCCAGCCTCGTCCCTCGTACCCCTTCACATGTCCCCTTTGGACAGACTGAACTGTTTTAAGAAGAATCTGGCCTCACACATTGTTCCATCCCCTGACCCCTGGCACACTCCCTTTGCCCTCTAATCCCTGCCTATCTTGATGCCTCCCATGTCGATGTTTGTCTCTCAGTGGGTCTGTCTTGTTTACTATTGTGTTTCTAGAGCCAAGTACAGGACTTGGCACAAAGTGGACTTCAACAAACATGTTTTGGATGGATTCTGAACTCTTCCTACAAAGGTGGCTCTGTGCGCTCTTCCCCACTCACCACCAGGGGGCGGCGTGGAGTAAAAGAAAATAAGGCTTCTGTGGGGTTCAAATTCTGACACCAGATTGTATGTTTCTCGGTTTTTCCTCACATGTAAAGTGGAGGGAGTGAGATGTCTGCTGATGAGGCTGTTGTGAGGATGAGTGAATGTGAGAGCTTTCAAGTGTTCTTTTTTGCCCTTTCGCTGTTTTCCCCGCTAGACTTCAGCTGTGACAGGTTTCCTCAGCTGCTACGGAGCTTTAGGGATGCGCTTTCCAGCTGCCCTCTCCGCAGGCACTACCTTCTGTCTGCCCTTCCTTACTGAGGGGAGTGGCCCTGGCTCTGTCACTCACCAGTTGTGTGACTGGGCAAGTCACCTCACTTCCCTGAGCTTATGTTTTCCCAACTGTAAAACAGGAACATGAATGTTTGCCTGCCTAACAATCTGTCCTGAGGGTAGCTGTGAAAAGCACTTCATAAACTCCTAACATGCCCCTGGCCTTGACTGCTTTCTCTTAATGCTTTAGAATGAGTGCTTTTACGATTAAATTAATTCCAGAGGGGGTCTCACCCTGGGTGGCAAAGTAAAGGGCCCCCCAGGATAGAGTGGAGTGGTCGCTCCTCCTCTCCGACAGAGCTGGTCTTGCTTGGGTAGGTTGACACCATCAGGAATTCGCCTGACAGGCTTCCTGAGGGCCCACTCACCGAGCTCTGCTGTGTCCTCACACCCCTTTACAGTTCCATGTGGACAGTTCAACTCTGAGCTATCTGGAGAGAGGGAAGAGAGAGCTCCCATCCCATCCCCAGTCCTCACAGCACCAGGACTTAGCCTGCTGCCCTAAGAAACTCAGGTCTTTGCAGGTGGTACATGGTACCCCTTCTCCTCAGCTGGAACCCTCTAGGGCACTGCCCACTACCTGCAAAGGAGGCCAGGAGGGGTTAGGAGCAGCCGCTTTATTTACTATATGCCAAGGAAGCATCATTCTTCAGCT